AACCCAAACTCATGATTATTTTCTAACATTATTTTCGTTATTGAATTTTAGAAACGATTTTTTTCTATTTGTTTTATCTGCAAGTAGTTATATTGTACTTCTAATTAACAAACACATTGATCGCGTATATCATCGTTGCAGAGAGTGCATTCCATTTTTTCTAACGTCTAATTTAAACTAGCAGTTTTTCAATTCTAGTCCTGATTTTCTTTATATTTGCTCTGTGAGTCACTAATATATTCTCGTTATTGTGATTTTATTACTTTATCGGTTATCGTTCGCTTTATTTCTTTATCATTCTAACTTTAGTCTAAGGAATAAAATTCAACATTGAAACTCAATACAGGATAATATTGAAGGTTTGCAGACGTTTTTCTTGAATATTAATCAATTTAGGATGAACCTGGAAAACAGGATTTTAATTTGAAAGTAAAATGATCTTTAAAACATGTAAATGTCTTAAGCATCAAATAATTTTCGAGAATCTTAAAAGTCTAAATGGTTTTAAATAAAAAAAGAAATTTTGGAAACATCTTTTATAATAGATAAGTAAAGCTATTATGTTTTGTTTGTAGTGCCTAAAGGTATTAGGCTAAAATGACGGACAGCAGCCAGCGTAATAAAACGGCCATTACGAAAACTATAATTTTGTTTTAACTCTAATATTATTCAACTGAGGCGTTACGCAAAAGATTTTACATATTACACATGCTATTCCCTTGCCCGGTAAAATCGGCCTTAAAGAGATAGTACTTCTGCAAATATGTGTGCTATGGACTCTTTATGTGTGCATTCTACTCTGTATTGTTTACTGAAACCATATAAAAACATTAACAAACAAATACAGTGCATTATGAAATAATGTATCCTTTTTTCAGAAGTGACAAAGTTTGTATTATATACAATTTTAAATACTCCTTACTAAACATATTCACAGAATGATGTTCTTTCTTAATAAGCAGTTGATCAATACATACTGTAAGGAACAAAATTGAAATATTGTATTAAAATGACAGGAAAATAATGTTATCTTAGAATGTCTGTTTGAGACTACATATATTTAGATAAGCTAGTGACAGATTTATGTTAATGCTAGTACATAAGCATTTGATGTTCAAAAAAAGGCATAAAATGTTTTCCTCAAGGGCAGACTGTATCATCTGGCAGTGAATAAATTTTCATTTGACCTGTCAATTCATACCATATCGTGGTCACACACAAAAATATGGAATTTAAACGAACTTCAAGAATGGTCCAAGAATATACCATTTTGAAATTAAAAATTATTATAATGAGTTCATATAATTTTCCTATTTAATCATTGTAAGCCGGTAAATTTTGCCTATCGTATGAATTGGTCTGGGAGTGACCTGTATGCGATGGAAAACATATGGGGTCTTTATAATAGGGCACGGTTTAATAAAGTTGGAGATTGATCTCATTACTATATTGGTGTATTTGTTTTGATTCCGGTATCTAGAGGTTTCATTTACCTAGATGTATGTTCGAAAACACCTAAGAATGACCTAAATTGTGTTGAGTCTATAATATCAACCTAGAAGGTAGCTTAAAATATTTGTTTGGATTAGATACATTGAATTGCGAGGTCTTGTTTTATGAATTAGATTCACATTAAGGGGATATTCTAATATTGACCTTCTAATATCGATATAGACGAAGTAATATATAGCATTGATACGGACTTATTTTAGTTTGCACATGGATTCGAAAGAAATTTGACAACGTTTTTATTGTCATTATTATAACACGCAAAATGATAGGTATCAAGGAAATGATTTCACGTGAATAACGGTTTATAGATTCTGACTTATTTAAATAATTAAGTATCTTGGTTACTCCAAGAGAAATAATGATAATGTAAGAAAAGGAGAATACATGTTCAAGACTTTGTCTTAGTTGAGATCATTAAGAGTAAATGATAGTGAACAGATTATATGAGGTGGGCCTCGTATTTTATATATTTTAAGAGATTGACTATTCGCTAATAGGCTGTAATGTTTTTGGTGTCCCAATGCTATTTATCTAGGAACATAAACCATACTTCTCTTTGGAAATATGAGTAAGCTTTCTATCTGTAATTGTCGGCGTATCATTAAACAACTGCTTCTTATCGGCAAGATGTGAAACCTAACTAATATCAATATTAATTTAGATTGCCATTTAACCTCTATATAAATGTATAATTTCTGACTAGTTTGTATACAATTATCAGTTAAAATTATACATGTTAAAACAGTTCAGTGAGAAATATTTTATATATTGTCTCTACCAAAGCGATGGTTTGATAAACAAATAAGATTATGCTAATTTAGACATATAAGATTCATATAAAGTTACGATCACTTTTAATCTTTGCTGTTACCATTATTACAAATTACAACTATACACTTGGTGCAAAAGTGATATGTAGCAATGTATTCATGAATTATATTTGAATGAGAAAAATGCACCAACTGAATTAAACAGCAGATTAACTTGATGACACAAATCTCCATTGATTTGAGTTGCTTATGCAAGATTTATTGTTTTTTGTATCGTTAGTTTAAATAATTATTTAAGATTGATTATAGTTGTATGGAATGTTGTTATCTATTTGTTATCTTTGTTTTGGGAGGTCAGGTGTAATGTAGTTATTTTCACAAAAGCAAAACGAATTTGATTGTGTTTCAAGCAAAATATTTGTAGAATACATTTGTCTCTGTGAAGCAGATTGAGTGTTCAGATATACATATTGTATGAAGACATAAGTACTGATGTTCATGTATTCATAAGATAGATACTTCAAAATAATTAGAGATTTATTAATTTTTCCTTAAAGCGAGGATTAGATGGGTTGATATTAGTATCTAATTATTAGTATATGATTAGATTTGGAATGAGTACAGTCAACAAATGGAATAATGTTCTTCAGATTGATAATGGATCACAAAACATCTATATGATGATGCACATGTATTGTCAGTACATGGTCTTGCTCTCCTACATTGACACTGAATACAGAGATAAGTTAGAGTAGAAATAACATAGCAGGGATCAACATTTGTCTCCTGCTAACACTAATAGTTATTTATTTCTTTAACTACAGTAGTGAAGTCAAGAAAAAATCATAATTATTAAATAAATGTGGGGACATATTTCATTTCTTAAGAGAAGCTTATAAATCAGTAGATGTTTTATTGTTTACACGAGGGCATAATCATGTCGTCAGATCTTGTGGCCTTGGTGTATTACGGGAAGATTTAATATGAATAATATTGCTGTATGACGGTTCTATCTCTAAAAGTCAGGCGTAGACACAGTTGTGAAATTAAAAAAATTCTTTAAAGTTACTTAGTTATTAGTCGATTATTTTACACATAATACTGAATGTACAGTGATAGCAAAAAGAAACGAGTAGTTCTTTTTATATCCACTTAGCGCTCTGGAATTATAATACATGGCTCCAGCAGCACATTAACTTATGTGCGTGAGTACAGAATGAATAGTAGGTGAATATAGGGCAAGGCAACAACGTTGTTTGTGATTAATTTGTGATTGAGTGTTCGTTGTTCAGAGAGATCAAAACTACAAGACTACAAATGAACCTAATGGGTTTATGATATGATTCTGAGTATTGTGTTATAATGAGTAAAACCGCAATTTGAACTCTATGAAAGTAACAATCCTTTTTGGCATATGCGATAGCTACTAGCGTCGCATTAACATTGTATCTATTAATTACTCACAGAACCATCTCCAGTTTATGGTTGGTCACACAATATTATTCTTTATTGCAAGTTGCACTTTGCGTCAGCAATGTTGACATTTATTAGAGCGATATTCTCATTTTAATGTTTCGAGAAGCAATAGAAGATGCAGATTAGAAGTGACGAATTCCAGTTTTGAAGATTTCATTTATGCAAGTTACACATTACAGAAGTCAATTAGCCAATCAATCATTCATAGTATGTTACGCTCTGAAACATCACTAGTGTTGCATGTACGCAAAAGTAGGTCGGGCGGTCTGTAAGCTGTAATTATGGATTTTTAATAAATCGGAAAGTCTAATTGTCAATACAATTTTCTTTACGAGTCAATTGAAATACCCAGCTCGTCCAACTATTTATCTGAGACCACTCCTTTCTCCCACATTAAACTAAAGTTGCAAAGATTTTTTTAAATTACTACAGATCTGAGCTTTGTTATTTGAATGGTAAACTAAGTAAGTATTTTAAATCTATTAAAATCTTGAAATAAAAAAATAATGTCTGTTTCTTTTTTCTGGAATTTTAACAATTTATACATTGTAAACATGTGTCACATCTACATAGAATACGTAACCGAAAAACTTTAATAGGTTCATGAACTTCAAAACATACATTAGTTTCAGACGAGCAACTTCATAAATTTTAAAGAAAAATTAAAGTGGGTGGTGAAAGTCAGATTTCTGAATGAGCAAACCCTTTTTAATGTACGAAATGTGTTACGTAATGCATTATAAAATTCAAATATGGCAAAACATATTATTCAATGTGAAGTAAAATTTTGATAAATCAAAATTTTGGCATTATATCAAATTCAGTATCGAAAATAAAGATGCCTATTTCTCTATATTAAAGGATATTGTTTTTTGTACAGTGTTCCGTCCATGTCTATTGCGTGAAACGTGTTTGTTTGTTTATTTATTTATTTATTTATTCATTTATAGTTATTTAATAATTTGGCTATGAATCAAATAAGACTTGTCATCGTCTGTAAGGTGTTTGCTCTATTGTGTGAAAGTTCTTTTATAAAAGTTTGTAATTATCACCTACGGTACAGTGTTCCGTCCAAGCCTAATGACTTGTGCAATCTGCCTGCTTTATTGAATATGCTCGTTCAATTTAATGTGCGGTCATCATGGAAACATGATAAAAATTAGATTTAAACAGTCACATAATGTCGTCGCAGGCGCATTTGCCTCACTGATAATGATTCCGAATGTATATAATAACAAACAGTTCATTTATAACGTTTATTTTTTTCGTCATTAGTAATTATAACAAAATATCAGAATGAGCATGTACGCATCAACTTGCGTTTATCCTTTAACTGTAGTACCCTTAACACTAAATTGAAAAGAACGTGTCTTATATAGTTATAATCATTGTTTGGGAATTCTTCTTGTAAAATTGTTACATATATCAATAATGTAACGTATTATCAATATATATTTAATATTCTGAATAAGCTAGCATTCCTTTAAAAAACATAAGATTTCAACAATAAAACAACAGTTAGGTCACATAAATGACGTTAACGACATTTTGTACAAAAAATGATGATTGAATTTTTCAATGTAATGCTTCTTCTTTTTACCCAATAGCACCGGTTTGGAGCAGAATGATACAGCTTTATAAATTATAAGTTAATTCGTTTCAAAAGAATGAACAACTGAAAATCCTACATCCGATTTTGACTTATGTTAGTTATCAGGAAAATATTATTGTTTTTTATTTTGTTATTTTTTAAACTGTTTTTTTTATAGAACGGTCTATCTCATACACATTGAGCACATAAGTCACTAAAACGAAACAAGCTTTGGCTCATTGTAACTCATAGTCATCTTAAACTTGATTCTGCTGGCGTCAAATTATCCCTCAAATGCGACAAGCGCAGTCCAATATCCAATTGTGCACTTTGGCTACTTCGGATAGTTAGCATGCGTGAAAAGGATTAAATATTTACATGAACTAGAGTCAACAGAACTTATGGCGAACAAATCTGAACCAGGCAAACTTAACACTATTATTGATAATAAAACTCCGATATATATTCTATACTATATTACACATTCAGTGTGTAACGGTTTCGCAACTCTCAGAGAGAATGCACGTAAGTAACATTCTGTTGTCAATGCCACTGAAAGGATTGTACCAGAAAAACCTGTCAAATGTATTTACATAATCATTGCAATTTGGTATATATTCAAGGAAGTATTCAAATTCACTTATAAATTATTTGTTTAAAACACAAATATTCATTATACCCGTAAAGTTATTCGTAAAATTGGATGATCAGATGCGGAAACACTGTCTTCATACAATATGTTTTCTTCCTCAGTTGATACTGGATCACTGTGTCTCATATGATTTAAACCCTGTCTTTTCAGCACATCTATATCCTGATACGATGCTACATTAACATTTGGACGCGGGGACAAAAAACTTTGACGTCGATTTGTACATCTTTTATGACGACATAATGCATGCAAACCACCGTCAGAATGTGCATGTGAACTACAGCTTGAGCTTCCTTCCTTACTGGTTCGATTAAGTAAAGTATCCTTTGTTAATTGTTTTTCAGTAATCACACCTTTCCTTATCGAATGAGTAAATTGTTTCTCGTTTCTATAAAAAGTCACCAGGCGCATCTGGTTTCTCTCTGGAATGTACTCTTTCGAATTAGCCTGGATATCTGATTGTAAATGCCCGTCATTGTTAATAAATTTTGCCTTGAGCATATAAAAACTTGGCAGAGAATTGATATTAACACAACATCTGCAGAGTGTCCGTTTGAAAGCCCGACGGAATTTCCTTGACAGTAAATTGTACAGAATTGGGTTGACCGTACAACTGAAAAAATACAGCACCCCTGAAAGTAGACAAGTATTTAATGTTATACATATATACATATAAATTCTTATGAGATGCAATCTTGCTTTTATCAAGACACCTGCTTTTTTGGTGATTATACAATAATCATTTTAATGGCTTATGGCAATGTCAAAAACATTTGTTTATATGTAATTATATAACATGCGGACACTTTTCTTTCGTATTGTCATTACTTATGTATGTGTATTTAAACATTATCATAAGTATGCTTCTATTACAAAATTACTATAACAATATGAAATTATGTAACAGCAGCTTCGAATAGCCGCAATCAAACCGACCCTCCACAAATATAAACATTAAACATATATAGAATATCATATGGATATATTATTTGGAATTTTATGTCTTATAGCGACCTATTAGCGACCAGTAAATACTAACTTCAACTGGCATAGCCTGTCGTTTAAACATTTATAAACTGTCCAGTTAAAATTCGGCTGATATCATTTTCCCCTACAACTGATTGTTTTGTCTAGATTTTTTCTATATTGAAAGATAGACAAGTTCATTTCTGATATTAGTTGTTATAAAAGCAAAGCAAATATCGCTTCTTGAATAAGTGAAATAACCGATACGAGAGTATTTTCTCAAATATGTTTCAACTGTTCAATACATGTTTTTACACAGTACAAAACAAAAGTTAAAACATATTGTTGCAAGTGGTTTAAAGGGTATAAAGCTATAATATCTTATGAAATATTTAAAAAAAAAATGAAATTTAAAACCTCAAAAATATTTTGTTATCTCCAGGTAGCAAAAATAGCTTTCGACACCTCAAGCTACATGTTTTAATGAAATAAAAACAGCTCTCCTAACAAGTAAAGGGAATACATATTTCTAAAGCTCAACGAGAAAAAAGAGAGAAAAATATCGAGTCATAGAATGTATGATGTGTAAATTCTGTAAGATATCATTGACGTGTTCTATGTATGAATATTTTGTATGGTGTTAAGATAAACATCTTGTATATCATTGAAAACAATAATGCAGCAAGGGGAAAATAGGGGTCAAATTACGTCAAGACAACATAACTGTGGAAAGCGTTCAGCCTTGTGTTAGGATTACTAGATTTGCCATGCAGCCCTATGTATAAATGTTGTTTATTATAACGTCAAATAAGTTAAAAACGACTATTAATATAACCGTAAATGACACAAAAAATATTGAACGCGATTTTAAAGGTATGTGGACAGTTAGATTGGTTGCATTTAGAAGCAAGTACTCATTTAATGTACCGATAAACACAGGGGAATGAAGTTCAAAGACCTCAGCTCCGACGATATCCTGCCTTACATGGCCGCTAAAAATTTACACGTTGAAGCATTACACAGGAGCCTTATACAATTATTATCGTGGTGTCAACACTTGTGAAGTTTCAAATACGTATATAAGTACAATGACAGTTACAAAATTACTCAGACTTTTTTTTATAATATTCGTATCAAAAACACAACGTTTAGCTATATGTTATGACAAAAAATGAAAAGAAACACGCATTATGCCTTACATTTCTTTCTCATAGCAATATTGATAAAGTTAAAGAAATATTTTATAAAATATAACATATTTAAATTTTGTTTTCGCACTTGAATAATATTTATCATGGCTATTGCTGTGTTTTGTTTAAAGATGTTCGTTACCTGAAACATAAAATAAGTAGCTTTGTACTTCAATCAACTGTTTGGTCCAAGTTTTTATATACAATGTCATCAGTCGTTGAGCATGGAATGGAGCCCAGCAAAGGAAAAAGGCAACAACAACAGCAACTGTAAAGAAAAAAAGTTTAAAAATAATCAAATGAATATGTCAATATTAGATAAAAAGGTAGGTAATGCTAAAGAAAACAAACATATAATATCATCTAATATTAATTATATTTTGCAGAAAGTCTAACTTGGTTTAAGGGTCGAGGGTGCTTCATGGGCTTATAATTGTCACGAGTGCTTCAATTACAATGTCCTAAAATAACGATAATAATAATAATAATAATAATAATAATGAAGAACCATAAAATTCATGAAGTGTTCATTATGCAAGTGTATTAACAATATGAATTAATGAATTACCGTAAAAAAAAAACTATAAAAAATCTTGCTCATTTCTGTGATATAAAACGAAAGTAAAACAGATAATACCAAGCATTTTCAGGATTGCCCGTCTCGCTCGTGCAGCAGTAGCTTTGCCGTATTGTGGAGATCGAGGCGCTGATAACGCACTTTCTCTTAACTTTACACCAATAAGAATATAAAATAATGTTATCACTACCATCGGTACAATAAAATAAATAAATGTTGACATTTGGAACACTGTGATCATTCTTTCCGTCCAAATTAATGGAATATTACACACAAGGGAATCAGGAATAGGTTCACCGGTAGACGGATCGTGTAGATAATAAAACGTTCTTGTATGTATTGGATACGGCAATGCACTAAACACTGACACTGTCCAAATAAGTACGATACATCTCGTAGCTCGAGACACATGGCAACAACGCTGAACTTTGATTGGATGACAAATTGCAATGTATCTTTCAATTGTAAATCCAGTAATTGTAAGCACCGATGAATATGAAGTCATTTCCATAATAAAGGATTTTAGTATGCAAAACGGTTCCCCGAGTCGCCATGGGTATGCTTCCCAAATGGAGTAGACTTCTGGAGGAAGCGCTGAAACAAATAATTAAAACATAAGTAGATAAGAGTTTTAAAGGTTTATGCAAAGCAGAGAAACAAATAAAATATATCTTCTACATCAATTGGCAATTATGTCAAATAAATCATATAAATTATATTTTCAAGTGAAAACATGTACACATATACACATAATCAAAATATTTCAATAAAAAAGCAATCACTTTTGATTTCAAATTGTCATACAATTTGTATTCTATCAGGAATATGTCAATGTTAATTATTAAAGCATTTAGATATCCGAAGCGACATCGCAAATGAATTTTATTTTCAAGATCAGTATGTGTGGTTGCATTTTCTTTCTTTCACATATTTGATATTATCGTTTAGCTAAGGATAGAAAATCTTAACTCAAAATGCAAAATACACATAATTGACACATAATTGGCCACTTATATAACAACAAAATGTCTTAACGATCTGCAACGTTTTGTTGTTGTTATTTTTTTTTGTCATAAAATTCACTTGAAATTATCATTGCTATAGAAATTTGCTATGACGATAAAATAAAGAAAATGTGATTATTATTTTCTTAAACTGACTGCAACAAATAACTAACGAAAGAAATAGTAATGCCCTTTATATTCAAGGAAATCAATATTACGATAAAAAACAACATTTTATGATCTATGTATGCATATATCATTATGAGACCAATGGTTATTTGTATTTATGTTCAAAAAGTTTTTTCATCATTTATATATCAGTGAACTTTTAAATCAAATTTACCATATTTCAAATTTGTCATTAGAAGTTAGAATCAGGAATATGCTACTGTAAATAATCAGTTACACTGGAAATTGATGTCACAACACTGCAGTGTCAGTTTAAGTGAATTCATAAATTTGAATTGGGGACATAATATAACAACACATGAAACGTGATATAAGTATCCCGTTGTTTCTTTGATTACTCGGCACACGTGCCACCATTTTGTGTTGCTGATTGATTTGGGAGGAAATATTGTTCTGAGAGAGCAGTGTAAATCAAAAACAAAAATAAGGCTCCTTTTGTAAGACTCAAGCTGTCATTTTGTATAGAAATGATATTAACATGATGTAATAAAATTTAGAAATGTAATTTTTATAAAACACGGCATTACTATGTGATTTAAACATGTCACTTTTATTGATCTAATGGCTGTATATTGTTGGCAATATAAGTCAGCATTTCAAGCCGTTCGTTGCTTATTGCGTTATATATTAATATTTAGTGTAATTAAAATTGTCCAAATTGTAGAATACGTTTGTATATTATAACTTTACGTTTTTCACTTTGTTCAAATGCAAATAAGAACACAGGTCCCTTTATCTATCGGTAAATTAATTGTCTTTTGGACACGGAGTCATAACATAATCTTTACTCATAAATATGTCATAACCAGCAGAATATATTTAAGATATGTTGTTTTTCCCTCAAATTAAATACATATAAGTGTATAAAGGAAAAAGTAATTTGGAATATTAAAAACTAAATTTTATATCGGTTATATACATAGTACATATTTACGTAACCGAAAAGTTTCATAAATTGTGTATTATAGATAGTTGGCAACATACCAACGATAAGTAGGTTCGATTTGTTTTAAGAGGTGTTCTTATGTGTTTTACAGTAAGTGGTGACTGCTACAACAATTTAAATCACCGTTCCGTAAAACATAATGGGTACCGTGTAAAACATTATATCTTATTGTATTGGAAAGCTGATGACAATAAAACAAAGTTATTGCATATAGAAACATGCGATAACATTAAGTGCAAAATTACATTGTTTGCAATTCTTGAGTGCCAAATATTCTTATTTACTGTAAGAATGTCATCAAACAAATACAATGCATGAACATTAGTAAGTTCATTTTCTCCATATCTATAAACGTTCAAACAATATACCATATGGTTTTCTAGTTCGTTAGCTTTATTTTATGCGTATTGGTATTTTATTCAATATTATATAATTAATTGCAAAGGATGTATTACAATGTTTCTATATTTGTGTATTTAATGGTATCTTCAATTGTTCCAATATGTATTTCTTGCCACACAACTACAATAACACACTGCTATATATATTTTATCACCTAAGAACAATGTCGAGTAATTATATTTATCACACACCCGTGTCGATTGTGCGACTCCGTAAATATGGTATTGCACGGTCGTGCATATATTTTGACGTGACGTCATTAGCGTTATACAAACATAGTGTAAAGACGCGCTAATGTTAGCGTTATATTATAGGCGCGTCAATGAAAAATGACTCTTATTTCACTTTAAACGGTCGTTATTTTGGGTATGTGATAAATAGAATATTTCAGAGGCCAGAGGCTCGCATAATATAATTTTATTCAATTCGAACTTACACTCTTTCAATATCCTCTATTTATTGTTCATTGTATTACATGTTGAACATATTCCTTAAAGATGAATGCCATTTTTTGCGATCACATCCTTATAGATATATTATTTCGAAATGTTATATGTGAAAATATAGATTAATGTTGATAATATAAGTATAATAATTATGTTATTATATTATAGGCAAACATGTACATGTATATATACAGAGTATATATTATGCCTTTAAAACTTCACATAATATTAGAAATTAAAATGCATTTTAGATACAAATACACATGGTGTCATAAAAAAGGTTGCAGTTTTCTTTTTTAGATAGGACTTATTTAATAGAATAATTATATAAAAAGCAATACAGCTTCCTTACATTTTGTGTAAATAATTCTGGTCAGATTTACAATTTATTAATTTAAAAATATTTCATTCCAAGATGAGCACTGTATATCTTTTGTCAGACGAATTATTACATTTATATGAAAACATTGAATTTCATTCTACTGTATATTATGGGTGGACATATTTGCATCATAATTTGAATATTGCATTTTTTTTAAATCACATATAATAAAACACCTGTATTAAAATGAAAACAAAATGCGAGAGAAAGTGTATTAATGCCTACCTAAAATAAGAGTAAGTAAATCCGATATCGCTAAATTGAATAAGTAATAATTTGTCACAGAATGCATGTAGCTATTTTTCCATATAACAATGCACGTGCTTAAATTTCCAGCTAATCCACTTATAAATATTATGCAATAAACACAAATTAAAAATATTACTGACACAGTATCCTTCCTTCGTTCTCCAAGATTTGAAAATAAATGTTGTTCTATATTCAGTTCACCAATGGTCGAAGACATTAGTTGTTCTGATAAATTAGTCCATATTTCACTTGATACATTTTCATACTTCTTTCCCATTCTAATAAAGATCATGCAAATAATTTAGTTGTTTTGTTATGTTAGTACACGTCACATTTTCATATCACAATTTGAATACATCCATTGACATTTGTATTGTTCATTGATCCTAATGAATGGTTCTGTTATAATGCTCATTAATACAATTTGTATCTTGTAATTCCAGGTTCACATAACTACATGTATATAATGAAATGATAACGTTTTAGCTTAAGCGTATTACGTTTTTAAATATATATCATATTACATCAAAATACACGGTGTAAATAGAGTTGTATTATAATTATTCACATTCAAACAATGTAAGTCTAATGCTGTTAATTGGATAATATATGTTTGTCTTTAATTTCACCAATAATAGTACAACATAGTGTTATCCTTTTAGAAACAAATCCGATAGGTCCGTTCACATTCACTGAAAGTCAATTTTTGATTGCAATAAAGGAAAACGTTTTTATCGAGTTAGAGAAAATCTAGGCTGCGCTCAAGAACAAATTCCGATTCTCTCTACAGTTGTGAAAAAGCTCTTCAGAGTCGTTCTACTGAAGGGATATCGTCTTTTGAAATATGTTTTACTGTAAAGTATATGACCGTAATGTTTTATTGTTTATAAAAGACCACACAAAAATACCATTTTCTGAAAAGAAATAAACAAAAAAACAATGATATTTACCAAACATATGTTACATCAACTTTTAAAGAATGGTTAACATACCTTAAGTATAAATATTGCTTTTTATGTTGCATATTACAGTTTCATGTTGCTTTCGTTGTACCTAGATTTCCATACAATGTATGTAGTATAATGTTAAAAGTATATTATAATTGTTGCTGATTTAAGTTATTAAATTTTATTTTAAGAAAAAAATAGTTATCCAGTATTTCTATCATTTGACTTTAAAGTAAATATCAGCTCACATTTCATGGTGTCTAAATAATGCGATTGTGTAAATAAAAGTTGCGGTTTAATATAAAGCAATATCTGTTTATAATGAATAAAGATACAATTTCCTGATTGTTAAAAATGTCATTGGATGTCAAGAATGATCTGGTCATCCTGTTATAAATAAATAGTTTTGATACACTCAGAATAAAGCTGTCATACAAATTTTCAAGGTGTCGACTTCTGTATTGAAATTGATATGCCAACAGTAATATGTTTTTGCCATATCAATGCTGAGTCATAAAATATATCAATAACAACATAAGAACATCATCGTGACATTACAGAGTAAGTAGGACATAAGATAGCTTCCATATGATTTAACCAATAAAATGTATAAATCTATTAATCTGCTGCAAAAGTTTTGTTTCGATTTAAGACAGAATGCTTCCCAAATGCTTGAATATATGAAATAAATATGGTAGTAAATGTGTTTAAAAGTTATTGGCGCATGCACAATTGTTATGCTAAACGGATAACACCCTATTTAAAATAGCTGATTAATATTTTGTTCAGTAATATTTTAATCTGTTTACGTACATTACTCATCTTAGACACAACTCTTTCAGATCGACCATTTTATTATGAATTAAGATTATGAATCCAATATTATTTTACTGTTGATAGATTTTATAAAAAAATATTTCATAAGATAAAGCTTTATGTCCTTAAACAGTCAGACGAATGCACTTTTACAATTTAAATACCCTGATAAATGAGACGCTACGTGATATGTGTTCTTCCTCGGGGAGAAAATGCAAAAAGGTCTAAGATTCAATATTTGTTGTAATACTTTATGCTTATACATCACGCACTTGGCATATTTGTCTTATCATTGAGTGACAGATATAAACTTGTTAATGACATTTGTCTATCAGCTATACTCATAAAGTTCATGAAGAAAAAGAAACGTACTTTTACCAAGTTGTATTTCAACTGACGAGTCATTTACTAAAGACGGGTATTAATTAATACATCCGTTTAAAGCCATTACTTTAACAAAATATCATATTCGATAATTTAACACATATTAAGATAAATGCTCAAGTTCACGTGTTACCTCCTTTTGTACTGTACATTCGATTATAAGATACGATAGAAAAACGTTGAAATGTTTGATATGATTGATTTAAGACAACAACATATTTAGTGTATGTTATATTATAATATCAACATTTTAAGACACATTTCTGAATAGAGTTGAAACAGATTTCAATGAGTAAAATTAAACATTCTTGTTTCTGTTTCTTCATGTAAAACTGTAAATAATAATTGGGTTGTTCAAGTAAATGGTAAGGCCTAAAGAATAATTTAGAAAAAAAAAATGAGAAGTCGTTAGGATTAATCCTCTGGTCAACAGATATCGCTTAAACAAAATATAAATTTTGAATTTTACAATAAAGCTTTATGGAAAACTTGGAATACTCCACCATTGCCTAAATGAAGGACATACGAATGAATTTCTCATATTGTCCGAAGAAACATAGGACTCTATTTTAAACAAAATGTTGCGAGTTGACTTTTTTAGATAGCAGCCATATCGATTATTAGATTGTCTTTCTGTTTCCTCGTATACCGTTTATGTTCATATCAGATTTCAATAATAGAATAATACCAAATAAAATAAATGAAAATAGTGAAGGTCATGTCTAGCATTATTTCAAATCATTGTTAACTTGATCAAATTAATATCACCTCATCTAGACCAAAACTTTGGCAATGTTTGCCCTAGACAATTTAATTCATTATCATATCGGAACTTAGATCATTACATGAAATCCGCACAGGAATATGAATCTTATGTAATGTAATTTCTGGAAATGGTTATCCAAAATAATGAAATCACTATTCTATTGTTATTTGTTCAAAATAAGTTGCATTTATTACCATTATTATTATTATTATTATTATCATCATCATCATCATCATTTTTATTATTACTTGTATCAAAAAAATAAATCATTACTATTTATCAAATAATAATATGAAACCTCGTGTCCCATATTTTTAGGATTTCGCTTATAATATATTTATGAATAAGGGTGACAACAATTGAAAATGGAAAAGGAATGGTTCGGTTAATTGGAAACACTTTCTTGACTGTTGGTATCTTTGCCACATTTTAGATACAGTAGTTATCCTACTCAAAGTTGCACACGTATTTGATCAACATGTATTATATAAAACTACTTCTCTGATCGGTTGCCCGTTAATGATTTTTTAAATTTTTGTTTTGCACTTGCTTCGTTGTGATGTACTCGTTATAAATTACGATGAACGAGGGATGTGATGAAAGGAGTACATCAGACAGAGATGTTCTAAGTGATGCAAACATTTATTATATGAATTCGTTGGCTCAATATAAAACATTATCGACAGGTATGTGCTTTTGTACTTGATTCAAGCGCGGTGGTATTTAGATAATATCTGACATATTAATTGCTATGAACAAAATAGCACGGAGGTGTGTTACATTTTCTGCGAGAGAAGGAAATAAAAAGTCATACAATTTTTATAGATTTTACGAAAAGGACAACATATTGTAGAAAAGATTGAACATAAATGAAATATCCCTACAAAAGACAAACCCAATTTTCATCATGGCAGCTTAACTTAAATCGGTGTGTATAAATGATAAACTTTTATATACTTACTTTATTATACATACAAAAATATATTTTTGTTGAAATGAAAAATAAACAAATATCCTGAATCAAATATCAAACTCCATATCTGTAAAAAATAATCAAGATTGACATGGAAAATTAATCAAAATGTGGAAAAGTTGCATATTGCGCATTTTAATATATAATTACTTAAATGCTCATGTGATGCTGTAATATTGGCAATATGTGTCAATATGGCGCTTTATCTTAAAATTTGTTGTTTTTGCTAGTACGGTACTAGTTAAATCATTGTACATGTACAAACATTACATCAGCAATTATGAATTACTAAGAGCTAAACTGTTTATAGGTTTACAATGAGAATGTTCTATGTTTTGTAGCAATAATTGCATTTCTTCTTCTGAAGATGTCAATAATGACGATACAAGTGAATTTTGAATTTTAAGCACTTTTTATTGACTTAATTGTAATTATAGTATCTTTCAAATGCAAGGAATGCTGTCGGTCTCATTGCACTTGTTCCATTAGTCATGTGAATTCATATGCTGTGTTCTGTAAATAGCAATGTGTAACCGTTTGAGGGTCTTTCTGTTGAAAATGTGTCAGAGTTAAATCATTAAATAAATAAATATACACAGTGCGCTAACTGGAAAGCAGGTATAATGTAATGACAGAGAAGGTATAGCAATATAAATATCATATTCAGATGCTCGTTCATTGGTTACTCTTTTCTGGGGTTTTATATTGTGACAAAAAGGAACGTGTTTTTAGTTTTGCCTTTGATACAAAGGAAAAAGAACATCGAAACATTCGGCGACATAATTTAATCTTGTAAATCAGAAAGCCTCGTGTTTTGATACTCTTTCTATTACTTAAAATATTATTCCAGTATTTTGGTTTCAAGTTTTGATTTGAGACAAGTGGTAAAATATTAAATTAATATATTTCTACAATGCACATATAAAACATTCTTTCTTAAACATTTGTTTAATAGCAAAGACAAAGGTACATATTAATTGAGAAAGACAGAAAAAATGCATTAATTTTGCACAACATTAACAAATATATAATTATGTAATTGAACATATATCGTAACTTAAAACGTCTCGTCAAATAGCTTGTGTGTAAATTAAAACCATTCTCTCCGTCTTTTTTCAGAATTACATTTTTATTGTGTAAAATGACAGATAAATTGCAACGCTTTTCATTCAATCGGACTAATTATCTAACACAAAAATTATCAATTTAATTCTGGTCATATTTCTTTATAATCCTAAAATAGATAAAAACAGAATCCCTAAAGAAAGCCCAACACGGCAAAATTGAAAATGTTGCAGGCTCGGTTTGATTGAGCCTGTTCATAGTTTGCAGATTTCATTTCTTTTTAAAGTGTTTTTTCTTGATCGGTGTAAAAATATCACATCTCATTTAAAATCAGGGACTTTTGATCTCAGCATTGATCTGTGCTCCTTTACTGTCTATATAAAGATGCATGTGTTAACGTAACGCGTTTACTTCGGCTAAATTGTACTCATCAAAGCAAATATTAATAAATTTTGTGTAACATATCCAATATTTATAAATTGCATAACGATTAAAATGCAGTGTGTATACCTTAACAAACAAAATAATATGCTTTTACTGTATGTCGTTTTCACATTTTAAAAAGCAGATATTCAATTAAAAAAGAAAACCAACAAATTATAAATAGTGTTGACAGATGCAGAATATACCTTCTACCAGCTGTGTAAAAATCAATTTTCCGCATGCATGATTTAATTGATCTTGTCTTGTTAGAATTTGTGTTTCTTTATGTATTTGTCTGGGTATACATTGTATTTGTTTATTTAAATATGTAAACTGATAAAAAAATGTATTTTTTATTCCTTGCTTACATTTGCATAAACAATCAACAGTCAATTAATAAGTTTTCCGAATTGTCAAATTGCATCCAATGTAATTATAACTTATA